CGTCTAAGGCTGATCTTTGTAAATACATGTAAGGCGAGTTTGATGTGCCCGCACTTCGCGTGACAATGAGGTCATTTTTGCGGACTGGATCGAGGAGTGTTCTTTCACCATACATGCCACTGGAGCTGTGAATAATACAGAGAGTTCCCTCAAATGGTAATATTTTATTTGTATAATATTTCAGGAGGGAAACCTAGATCCTCACCCCCGACGAGAATGGAACTAATAGTAGTCGGATGTCTGGTGGTATTCAAGTAGCCTAATGGGTGCTTCTGCCGGCTGAATCCCGTCGAGGATCAACATCGTCAAGTCCCAGCCGCCCCAGCTCCGGTTCTTTCATTGAATTAAAAAGAAGATATGGACAAAGCCGCTGAACGCCGTTGTCCGAGACCCATCCCAAGCACCGTCGCTTATCATCATGATGACCGCTTTGATATGTCATTCTCTAGCAGCCAGTAAGCGCCTAGAGGATGTTAGTAACTATTTCTTGGAGCTTTTCGAGTGATCGCCACGTACAGCTTGCTGGTTCTTCATGTTTTGTTGGATACCTCCAGAGAAGTCCATCTGGAGTGACTGAGTGACCGGGTTGTCCTGCTGAGGGTTGCCCGTGAGGCCAGCAACCTTCTGCAGCTCAGAGAGCTGGGCATTCGCAACCTATTGGACTATTAATTCTCATGCTCTGTTTCATATCGTTTCTAAGCACTACGTACAACTGCGAGGCCCTGAGCGGCACCGTTGCCGGAGGGGGCGATAAGCTGGTTGGCCTGGCGGACCTGGATACCGTCGCTGACGAAGGACAGCAAGTTGGACTTGGCAACCTGGAATTGCTGCATGTTGACGGGGTTGGCCTGAAGAGTTTGCATCACGGCCGCGAGTCCGGCCTGCTCCTGCTGCTGGATCTGGATGTTCAGAGCAATTCCGCCGGCCAGAATCTTCGCCTCAGCGCAAGCGGGGGTGTCATTCGGGGCCGGGGCCGGGGGCGGCTGGGGAGCCTGGCAGGCGGCCAAGGTGGCGAGGGAAAGGATAACAGCGTAGGCCTTCATTTTTGCGGTTTGCTTTTGTTTACTGATTATTGGTAAAGATTGAATAGCAGTTGATTAGCGTATGAAGGACCTGCCCGGGGCTGGTTGAGTAATGACCGTTGCTGCTGCTTGACGACGATGCCGAATCCAGATTCAGTACCGGCCAAAAGTGAATGGGTATACAGAGTTGGGTCAACTGGTCTTATAAGTAAGTTGCAACGACGGGACGGCATTCAGTCCAACGCCGGCACTGTTCACGAAGCAATCATGAGATGATGCCGCGGGTGGGGGAGCCATTGGCGGCAGCGCAGAAGACAGGGCGGGCCAGCAAAGGAGGTTGAAACTTCCGGATGATAGACTTTCTGTAGTGTTTTGGTGCGGTCGCCGAGTCGCTGTGCTGCTTGTTTCGAACCTTGAATACCATTGGGACGAAGGAAGGATTTCCCTGATTGTTCAGTCGCACAGACGGTGCATTGAGATGCAGGGTATCAGAGTAGGCACACCGCCCACGAATCACATCCCTGGTGGCAGGGCGCCGGTCCAGATTCCACCTGCCCTTCTCCCCTCCTGCCGACTCGTGGTCGGCTTCATAAGGCAGGACGAGTCCGAACATGCGGAGCGGATTGGCGTTGGTTGGCACCTTCGCAGGGGGGCCGCCGGCGGTCCCCGACCAGACGTCACAACTTTACGTCTCGGCCTTCGAACTTAGATTGGAATGGTGCCCTTCCTTCCCGCTCTCTTTGGGCCCATTCTCGTCCCTCTTCTCCTGGAAATTCAGGGGGACTGGTGAGTCTTGCCGACTGCCAACATGGCTACATCCATGACTCGTCTGAAGGATGTTTCCGCTGCCCACACCCATCAATGCTGAAAAGAGTACTTTCTCCGAGAAGCTTAATGACAGCGCCGTCGCTACAATAGGCTAAGCTTTTGGTTAGTCATCTCCCATCCTTGGGTGATGCTACTACAAGCAGCCTCCAGCAGGCCGAAGGTGGCCCAATCTAAGCCAAAAGGAACGGATGGCAGTTCAAACACCCGTCCTCAAAACCTGCAAGTTAACAACTTAATTGCTTGTTTGCCTGTCCGGGTCTCTCCCTCCTTCTCTTAATTGAAAGAAAGCGCAGTTTCAAATGGACCGTAGCGAAATTGATGTCTAGTGCTCTGGCCCCAGTGGTCAATCAGGCCAGCAGCTGGCTGAGGCCCGGCCTCTTAACAGACTCTTAACAGAGTCTCATATAATTTCCTTGGCAGTTTGATAGGGCTGCACAAGAGCGGCCTGGATCTCGGTCAACCTTCCCCCGCTCCCTTCCCACGTTGTGGAAGCTGCGGGAGGCGTTCGGTCACCCGCTAAAAAATGTTTCCTCGGATCTACAGAAACTCTCCCTCTGGCTGTCCCAGATGTTTGGCTCTCACTGATCGGACTGAGCGCCACCATCTTCGCGGAGAATAACACTACTCCGTCGCCAACGGATGTCCATGTGCGCCACCACGCTTGCATGCAATCGAGCCCACCACCTTCGATTCTAAGAATCTGTCATGTGCACATTGCATTGTAGAATAGGCGAGATGATCATCCCAACTAAGAAAGACACTATGAGTGTCAGCCTCAACCACGAGCCTCATCCCGGAAACGCTCATGGTAATAAGCCAGCCCGTGTTTTGACCAGTACCACACGACACCACACCACATTCATCTTCTCATGCAAATCAAAGCTCTTGTGTCTTCAATTTTGAAACCCTTGCTGGGATTTTCATACCCAATATGATGGGCGAACACTCCTCTCGGCGCGCTCTTGGCAAAAGGCCGATCCCGAGACGTGCAACGGTGCAATGGAGGTCGCGTTCCACAAGAATCGCCGATGGTAGGCTGCATGACTTATCGCCAGATACGACAAGCGCGTTATCTTAGATATTCCATGCTATATAGCCCCAGATAACAGCATCTTGAATCAGCTAAGCCATGCTGTGGAGACTGAAAAAAACTGCCCTGCGGAATGAGCCATCCCGGAGGATCGTGACAGAAACGCGACTGAGAAACAATTGCTTTTACTACCTGTCATACCTGCAGAAGCTATGATCACAAGCCGGGCAGAACCATCTTCCCGCAACTGTAGTTCAAACGCATTTTGAGTGATTTGCAAACACACTTTGAGTGCTTCTCGTTCACCGGCATCCCGCATTGGAAGACAACCGAGACCGCAAGAAGCGATTGCCTCAAGATCAGGGCGCTGAGCTAGAGGATAAACTCAAGCCTGTGGGGATCCGCGCCTATGACGGTTAGGCGATAGGTTGAGATGGTGTGCAGCAACATGCCACTTTTGACTGGACTTCTCCGCCTTGAGTTTCCGTCCGAAGTCTGCATAAGGGGCAGGGTCGCCGTCGCGAGGTGTCTCGAATGTGAAGTATCCAGTCGCGCTGCGTCTCGCCCGCCAGTGGGGTTTCTGTCAACCATAAACCAGACAAGCAATGCCCAGAGTCAGTTAGGCCCAAGGGGCAGCGATCCTCACTGTCGTAGTCAGGGGTAAACCCAAAGACCCCAGCTGTAAGGCTTTTTCCCCTGCGCTAGTACCAATGAGTTTGTCGGAGAAATAATAATCGAACCCAACGGAAATCCCACGATGCCCAGCTTCCTCAGGCCGTTAGTGAGCTTTCCGGATCGACGGCTTCCATCTGAAATCTGACCTCTCCTAGCGCCACAAAGGTCTAATTGTAGAATAGGCTTCTGTGAACAGCCCGCCAGCTGAGAATTTCCCACATGCCGAACATTTAGAGTCTGCAACGACTTTTTTGGACGATAAAGGCAACGGCAGGAGGACGATACAGACGAAAAAGGTCGGCCAGGACCGCGGCATAAACATAGGTGGGAGGATGATGGGATCAATCATCGAGTGATAGAATCTAAGTTATCGCTACTGCTCACGAGTAAGGCAATCGCACGAGATATCTCCGCGAAACGACCGTGCCCGAGTCGCTTGCGCCCTCGGGGCGCTTCGGATCCGTGTTGAGCTCTCGCGGAGACCTCACGGAGTTCGGATATCCCTGTCTGTTCTTGTCACCGCGTGCCCGGGCGCAACAGGGATCAGCTTCCTTAATTAGCGCGCGCGCGCCACGGCCGGACTGGCCCTGGGCAAAAGTGCGGCCTCGATTAATATGGCGTGTCAACTCGTGTAGGGAGCTCATCGAGGGGCGGCTCATTGAAGATGCAATGCCGTTAAACTGGATGCTTCTTTCGCAAAGTCAATTTCGATGCCACGTGTGGCAAGATAGGCGACCCTTGGAGCTAGCCGGAGCTAACCTTGCGGAAACGCAGATTCACCAAAGAGCTGTTGAATTGCTGGTAATTAACTGCCAAGGCTCGGATTCGCTGTTGGCGACCAAACACCTTGGCACGAATGCGACATCCAATCTCAGAATCGCCCGGCTGGCTAGGGTTTCCGAGGGTCCGTTTTTCCCTGCCGATGACCCCACGCGAAGGGCGCCGACACGCGTCGGCCTTCGTTGCACAATGACGCTATTCACATTACCGCCTGCCTGTTCGAAATCTTGGCGAGAGCGAAAGCGGTTAGCCGAGTGAGACCTCAACGCGTCGGCTTCGCCAACACAAGCGAGCTTGGCAAAGCAAATAGCAGATATCACGCGAGATGGAAGAAATGTTTCAATCCTCAAGGTTATCGGACCATCCGAAAAACGATGCATTGGCTATCTCTACTTCCGCTCTACGCTACACAAGTCGCTGGGGTGTTCAATGAACCCGCGTTAAAAGTTCAAAACCCAGGACTAGACTGGACACGAGAACGTTTCGTCGAATCGTCATTTGAGGAGGATCAAACGCAGCCAGAACAACACAGGTTCTTGACTGAGAAGACCAAAGGTAAGGCAACAATCAAATGATAGTCCAAATGAATTCGATTTTAACACGACCAGGGTATACTGTTGATGGAAAGACCCTCCCAAACGTACACTTTGATGCTGGAGAGTCTTATGCGGAACTCTTCCGTGGCCAAGGATGACTTGCAAGAGCTATTCTTCTGGTTCTTTCCCTCTAATGAGCCACCGGCTGAAAAGGAGATTGTCATTTGGCTCACTGGTGGTGTAAGACTTCTTTCGGTTTCCATGCACATTGGTGGTGTTGAAGACGAAAAGCTAATCAAGATGCAGCCTGGTTGCTCGTCCATAGGTGAACTTCTTCAAGAAAATGGCCCCATATCGTGGAAGCCTGGAACCTTCGGGCCTGTGCAGAACCCCTGGAGTTGGCACCGCCTGAGCAATGTTGTGTGGATTGAACAACCCGTGGGAACAGGCTTCTCTCAGGGCCCGGTCACGGCTACCGACGAAAGAGATGTTGCAAGACAGTTCATGGGATTCTGGAAAGCCTTTGTTGACACGTTCGACTTGCATGGCTACAAAGTCTTTGTTACTGGGTCTTCCTATAGCGGCCTGTTCTCTCCGTACATCTCGAGTGCCATGCTAGATGCTGAAGATACGGATTACTTCAACGTCAAGGGCATGATGATCTTTGATCCTTTGATTTCGCAGCGGAGTATTGGTCAGCAATTTGGAGTAACCAAGACTCTCGAATACTGGGGTCCTGTCTTCACGCTGAACGACACAGCAAGGGCGAAAGTCAATGAAATCGATCAAAGATGTGGCTACAGCGAGTATGTGGATAAATATCTGACATTCCCACCGTCAGGAACTCAACCAGTCGACGTCCCGAGAGCTTGGAACCCAGACAACGAGTACATACCGGAGTGCGACATCCTGTCATTTGTCGCCGAAGCAGAGAGGGTTGCGAAATCCCTGCTTCAGTCTCTATAACGTCCTTCAGACCTGCCCGCTTACGTACGACCCCATCGGCTTTACCGACAACAGGCTCCGTCGTCCGTCAGCTGGTCCGGTTTACTTTGACCGAGAAGACGTCAAAGCAGCCATCAATGCTCCTGTTGACAAGGAGTGGCGATTTTGCAGCAGAGAGCCCGTATTTGTAGATGACATTGACAACTCCAACAACCCAGGTCCTGGAAGTTTGCCTGTTATCCCAGGCATTATCGAGAGAATCGAAAACGTAATCATCGGGCACGGATTACAAGACTTCATTTTACAGAGCACCGGCACATTGCTTGGTATCCAAAACATGACGTGGGGCGGGACGCAGGGGTTCCAAGTGCAGCCTGAGAATGTACTGAACGTCCCGCTTCACCCAGACATGGAAGCCTTTGGCGGTAGTGGTGAGCTTGGGGTATGGCATTCAGAGAGAGGTCTCACGTATTTCGAGACCCCGATGTCTGGCCATTTTGTTGGTCGTGATGCACCGTTCATCTCGTTTCGAGCGCTAGAGGTGCTTTTGGGACGAGTGGAGGACTTTGGGTCAACAGCCCCATTTACGACGGAACACATGGTGGACGCCCGGAGCGAAGAGCTCTGAGATATGACTTTGTCAAAAATATCGACAGCGACTGATTGCTGCACTGAGAACGAAACAAGATCTTGCGAATAGCCTTATGCAAGTGATCATAGAAACCGCCTAATCTTTTGATAGCTGCGCGGCTACATTTTCTCGGCACTTAGCCTCTTCATTCGATGACGACAATAATGGAGATAACGATGGTGCAGATGGCGTAGATAATTCCAGTCACATTAATACTTTCAATAGAGGTAACGATGACGACAACAATAGTAGTATTTGGTATAAACCCTGAGGAAAAGTGGGTGACCTCTATCAATCCCCTCTTTCTAATATGCATACAGGACCATGAAACAGATATCCTGAAGCCATCCCATGCCATTTTGACGTGAAACAATTGAAGCAATACTCAGATTAAGCACTAACTGCCCACGCTCGCAGCCCCGCAACCTCGCCCGCTGTGCATGGCTTGTTATCGTACAACACGCGATGCTTTGGAATCTTGTTGTCCTTGGTCGGGATCTGAAGAACAATGCTTTCCGTTGCGCCAGGGAAGATGGAGCCATGCCCTTCTTCGGTAAGGTCCGCCGTGTCAGTGGCAAACAGCAAGCCAAACTCTCCACCCTTCGTAGTCAAGGTGGTGGAGCTATTGTCTGGCAAAGTGATGACACCAAGGCCTCCAACCAAAACTACCCACCTAAGCTGTGTTAGCGTATCAGATTGTTTTTTTTTGGCTGGGGAAACGTACTGGTTGGTGGGCGCAGGGTGGAAGCCACTGTCGAAACCAGCCGGTACGACATTGTACGACATCTTTGAGACATCTCCGAGAACTGTTGTTCTCGTATCAACCAGTCCGGATTGATTTGAGGAGCGGAAAGGCTCGTCCAACTCCCAGCATTCGAATCGCGAGGCGTTGTTGTGCGTGCCAATGGCGGTGACGTTCAACTTAATCTCCATCGCAGTGCTTAGGGCAGCAAGAATGGCCAACAACCGGATTGAGGTTAAGGAAAACATGTCGGCTTAGTTCAAAGTAGTTTAAAGTAGTTACAGATTGTTTGAATGTAATTTGCTGATAATGAGCAATGGTTTGATCGAAGAAATGTCTGGTGGCGTTGGGGGGCATTTAGAGTCTTGAGCGTAGTTCAGACTCTTCAAATGCCTCCTTGATGACCCAGCCACCATTGATATTTCCGTTCTGAGGATTTACTGAACTCAAATTGGTGTTTATTGTTCTCAGCCTCATTCTCAAAACCTATCCATCAGAACTCCTTCCCTAAAGGTGGACATCTTTCAAAGGCCTCCATGTTGTGGATTCAGCTGTTTGGGGGTGTTGAGTCTCAGCCAGGCAGTGAGCATAATGTCGGGCGCAATAAGTGATGGGTTGGTGGCCTAAAAGACTATATTTTAGCCTGGACAACCCTTTTCACAAGCTGCGCCACTGCCATGAGACCTTCTGAGGCGATAGGTTGGGTTGCATGCGAAGGCTGAGAGCGGAGTTGGGTCCCGGACCCCAGGGCTCATTTTAGAAATTACGTCAGCCAACCAACGGTCTCCAAAGCTGGGCGGACTGCGCGTGACATTGTCAGATCCTTGGATGCCCAGATGTGATAGGAATTAACCCAAAACGGCAATGATTGCTTTTTGCTGAAGAACGTCGAACGAAGACAGAAATTGTGATAAATCCGGATAAATTGGGGGCCATGGCTCGCCCGAAATCAAGATGATGTCAGATAAATATGCCCTGATGAGTTCGCATTGAATTGAATGCAAAATTAAATAACAAGGCAGCCAATATTCGTTGTATGGGCTCTCTTCATACGAAGGAATATGAACTTTGAGATCTCGCGTACCCCGAGATGTTTTTAAGCAACTCTGTAGGTCACTTCGGCCTACAAAGTAGGGTTGCCAGCCAAACAGCGTATTACCATGGCGGACTTATCTTTTGAACTTCCTTGAAATCATAGAAAGGGAACAGAAAGTTCTCAGCCAACGAGGCATTTCTAAGTCTCCAGTGGAGGTTCAGTCAATGGTATCTTATTGCCAAATACCAATCAGAAGTAAGGTCACCTGGTCCGCGATCCACAAGAGCCACCGGAGAATGTCGTGGAGGTACTAATAGTGGCTGAGAGTTGAATCACATGGTGTTTTGGACGACTAGTAATTGAAGGACAAATTTCAAAAGACCTAGAGTTATGAATTATTGAGAACAAAGAAAATCTGCATCGTCAGTTTTGAGTGGCCGAGTCGACGGATGATGGGTGCGCCACCGTCGGAGTGCTGCTCGCCCAGGGGTCTACAGACTTCTGAGGGGGGCGCGGGGGAACTTCGGCCCTCTATGATGCATACATAAAGGGCCTACACAGTACGAGGCCTAGTATATACTTAGCATATGCTCTACGTAGCCCTACTTTAGGGGCCCTGCCTTAAAGGCCTTAAGGGCGCGCATATACTCAGCATAAGCCTTACCTTAGGGGCCCTACTTTAGGGGCCCTACTTTTAGAAGCCCTACCTTAAAAGCTCTGAGGGTGTATATATGCTTAGCATAAGCCCTACCTTAGGGGCCCTACCCTAGGGGCCCTAAGGGAGCGTAGAGGCTTTTTTGATATTTACTGTGTAACTTGCATTTCCTTACATAAGTGTGTGGCGCTTGCACGGCCACAGCCCCCTAGGAAGTCTGTAGACCCCCCTGCGAGGTGTACACCCCGCCACCGTAACACAGGTTCGGAGTTTATCCCGGTTCCCCGAAAGTGGGTTTTACCCCACCCCTTGGTGAAGAATCGTCTGTTTCGCCCCTCGATCCATCGCAACTCACAACACAAGTCCACAATGCCGCAACATACGCGAAGTCGAACAGGTTGTTTGACCTGCCGGTAATCAACACTAATCACCTTCTGAGCTCTCAGACTGACTGAAGTGCAGAGATGATGGCTACAAGTGCGATGAGGCAAAACCGAACTGTGGCCGGTGCGTCCGGCTCGGCAAGGTCTGTAAGGGGTACGGCCTCAGGGTGAGATGGAAGGCTGCCGATGTATCGACGGTTCCCTCCAAGGTCACGAAACGACGGAGCCCAAGGTCGAAAGGCTCCACAGCACCTCAGAAAGGCGCGTTCAAGCCAACATCTCCTGAACAGACTGGGATGGTGATACCAGGTTTTGCTGAGTCATCATCAGCTGCGCCATCAACTGAGACAAGCCTCATTCAAAATCCATCGTACATCCCGTCAGATATCACCTCAACGAGTCGATTCTTACTCCATCACTGGAACTCATCTCTAGCGAGCGTAGTCTCCATGGCCTCCGGCAGACAGAACCCATTTCTCATTCACCTGACGCCCATGGTGCTGCGCTCGCCGGCCCTCCTGTTCTCCATCTCCTCCATGGCTGCCGGGCACCTCGCAGTACTCCGAAAAGACGAGAATCTCCGGACAGTGGCATCGAGACACATGCTCATGGCGGTATCATCGCTCCGAGAGTCCATTCAGACAGAGAACCTGGAACTATCCCTCGCCACCATTATGATGCTCCAGATCTCAGACAGACTCTTCAATACGGACAGCCAGATTGATCACCTCGCTGGCGCCAAAGCTGTGATTATGCACTCGGGAGGACCTGGTAACTGGACGAGCTCTAGCGCACAGTTTCTTCTAAGCCTTTGCTTTTACCATGACGTCATGTCATCCATCTCACGCACTGCGAAGCCACTCTTGAGCATGACGAACGTGGCTCCCCTGGAAGGCTTACACAGCCTAGAGAAGCTTACATCACTTCTCTCTATTGTTGGCACAATCAGCAAGATGCAGGGACAGTCGGGCGAAGCACACCAGCGGCGCGGCTTCAATATCAGGAAGAACTTGCTGTCCATGGACTCGTCCACAGGCGGGGACCAGGACATTGAGAACACAATCCAGGCATACAGGCATGCGGCTATTGTCTACCTCTACCGAGTCTGGGACGATGGCACGGAGCCTCCAAAGCCGTTTCATGCAGAGCAATGCATTCATCATCTGCTCAAGGTCCCAATTACATCCTCGTTCTGCTCGGCTCACGCCTGGCCTCTCTGGACCGCGGGATGCGAGTCAGTTGATCCGCAGAATCGGCAGCTCGTTATCGGAAGAATCAAAGAGATGTACGCAAGCAGACGGCTTCCGTCTCTGGCGCGAGTTCAACAAGACATGGAAGAGGTTTGGGTCGCGAAGGACGCCCAGCGTATGCAGTTTGGAACTGAAAATGTGGATTGCTGCAAGATGATTTTGGATAACCGTCACCGAGAGGCAGACCTAGTCTGAATCTATCTCTACGAAGTTCCCTTCGTCGCTATTCTCTCTCGATGCAATTAGCGTCTTTTGGGAGTAGCCGATGACTGCCCAAGACCAAGGCAAGAAGCAATCTTGAAGAAGACATCCGTGTTGTCGTACACACCCGCAAATGTCTGCTGGCAGGGACCCATCGCGAAGAGCGGCACGTCCGTAATCGAGTGGACGCCCGACGACGATGATACCGGCAACGTTCCCTGAACGAAGAAACCGTCCTTACCATCTTCCGGGTTAGCCACATATCCGTCATCTCCGCTGACGACCACCTTACGAGGCGACTCGTGCAGTTGATAGTTCTCCCTCCGATCGGGGCTTGCTCCGAAACCGGGCGCAATGGCATAACGAGGGCTCCAGTTCAAGGGGAAGTTGGGTCCAGTGCCATACTCAATGCCGTCAGGCCGCTCAACAGTGTAGTGAGACAGACCAGAACGCTCATAGATGCCGATCGCGTCGCGCTTCTTGCGATCAGTGTCTTGGGCGGCAAGATACTTTGTGTCTGCTACGCCAAAGACGTCGAAACCATGGCCGTGGTCTGCGGTGACGACGATGAGGGTCTCCTCCAGCTCCCCGACCTCCCTCAGCTTCTTCACGGTCGCACGAATCGTATCGTCGAACTCGAGGAGATCGCCAAGGGCCCTGTCATAGTCGAGGGCGTGCATCTGCTTATCAATCGACGCACCTTCAGACATGAGGAAGAAGCCGGTGTCGTTGCTGCGCTCGAGCAGGATGTCGAGCGCCTTGAGAGTCATGTCCTTCAACCCAGGGAGGTCGAGCGGCGCGGAGCCGTCTCCGGAAGGGTGGGTCTCCAGTTCAGCAATGTTATCGGTTAAGATGTTTCTATCAAGCCACACGGGCAAGTGGGAGAGGGAAAACACCCCTAAGGCAGGGGTATTGATAGGTGCTTCCTTGAGCGAGGTCGCGTTCCAGCTGACGGAGTATCCCTGGTTACGGAACTCTTCGTAGTAATCCTTGCCCAGGTATGACGAGGATCCTGGGAGGAAGGTGGAGGCGCCGCCGCCAAAGTAGACGTCTGGTCCGGGATGGGTGCTCCAGGAATAGTTCGTCATGCCGTTGAGGGCTTGGTCGATGAGAGATCCGGCGTTGGAGCGGGATCTGCTGTGGCCAGTGAGAGCAGCAGGGGTTGCGTCGTCGAGAGCCGCGGTTGTCACTGCACCCCATGCGGATTCCTATCGGATGGTCAGAGATATTTCAGTCTTGCTCTTCTGGAGACTTCTTACCCAGATTCTTGTCACCATTTCCACAATCGTCTCAACCTTGGGGTCGTCAAAGTCATCGTCAGACGAGTCAGAATACACACTACGTATGTTAGCCATGCATCATGATCGCAAACAGAGTTAGTTACCTTACCCCATGGAGTCCGATGTTCCCTTGTGGCCAGAGTAAAGCGCCGAAGCCGAGTTCGCACTGTCTGTGACGAAGCTGTCGACTGAGTGTGTCTGTCTAGACGTTAGCCTTAACCCTCGGAACACCGCGTTCTCGATTCATTCAACTCACCATCTGGTGACCAAGGATCGGAAACTCGTCCATCTGCATCCTCGACTGGTACTTCCCGTTCACACTCTTGTGGCCCAGCAGCCTCGCGGCTGTAATCATATTCGTCGTCATACCATCTCCAATGAACAAAATCACATTCTTCGCCTTCTTCTCCTCGGCAAGCGGCCGCACAAACCACTCCGCCAGAGTCTTCTTCGTGCCATTGTAGTAGCTCAGCTCGACCGTGTAGTTGCCCGGCTCGTACAGCGACAAGTGACGGTACGCCTTCGACGCGACGTTGACCACAGACTTCTCTCCCGCATCCTGGGCAAACAGGTCCTCGTACCACGAGAACGTCCACGTCTCCAGCTGCGGCTCGTCGAGCGCGAAGAACTCCGTCACCGGCACGCCGTCGGGCTTGCTGTTGCTCGCGATCGTGAGCGCGAACTCTGTGTCCGGCACGCCGTCGTTGAAGGCCTCGGTGCCGTTGACGGGCGCGTGGACCTCGACGCGGATGTCAAAATTCTGGCCGGGGAGGAAGTTGGCCTGGTCTGGCGGGAAGACGCAGCCCAGGTCGGGGCAGGCGCCGAGACGTTGGAAGGTTTGGGCGAGAGCCGCGGGGGCGGATGCCAAGAGGACCAAGGCGAGGGCGGACATCGCGGGTGAGGTGACGATGGGATGGTCCACCGAGGAGGGGAGGGCTTGGGATGGCTGGCTTTGAGCGTGCCACAAGGAGGGGTTGCGGTCATATACATATCCGCGTGTCACGATGCCAATTCCCCAACCTCCTCTTCGTCGGTGGCTTCATGATATGTGGCTAACTCGACATAGAAGGTCGTCCAAGGTGCCGCGCAAGCATTCCCCCAACTCCCGGGGCGGAAACCGGGGAATAATCCTCGAATGGACCCATGTCGTGACCAGTGAACTCAACTTATCGCGAAGAACGAGGATCGGCGTCGTCCGAAAGCCACTGACCGACCTGTCATGAGGTGGGGGAAGACAGGCATTGCAAGCGCAGGATCGTTCTTGGCTTGCAGCTTCATTGCTGCGTACCCCGCTCCGTTGGTGACTTCCCCCCTCACCAGGACTCGATAAGCACGCGACCAGTTGCCGAGTTTGCTGGGAATGATAGGATGGTTTGATCTTGGCTATTTGTAGTGGGAAGCTTAGGTCGGATGAAAGGTGAGGAAAGAAGCTCGGAGGAACCGGGGAATGTGATCATTTTCGCCCTATTCCATCTCCAAGCATAAATGCAATGCAGGTGGACCTTGCAAAGGCACGTAAACTCAATTGATGACGCCTAAAGTATACGTAACAATAAAGTAAGGACTTCTTTTCAATTGATTGGAAGTATCGAACACCGTATTGGCGAACGAGGTACGTGGATTTCACTATTCATCGAAGACGACGTTGTAGATTTCTGCCGAGACCATGGCCGCGGAATCATGAAATTGGGGTTCATCCGAAATTCTTTCAAAAACAAGCCAAATCGCCGAGAAACATTTCTTTGCAGCGATAAGGCTAGTTCCTGATTCATGCTCAACGGCCGGTGCCAAGACGAACGCCGTTTGCCAAGGCTTCGCCATATCTCTCGGCCACCAACGCACATAGTAACAAAATCACGCAGCGTACAAAGTTTCCAACAAGCAAAATTTCTGCAATGTATTGCTTGCCATCTCTTCCATGGGTTCCGACCCCGGATGTTCAAGGTTTATCTAAACGCCTCAAAACTCTCGTCCGTCACCCAACCCACCATACAGACCAGCCCGGTTCTAGCCGCATCCCTGCAGTCCCTCGCCAAGTCCTCTTGACCGGTAGCAGCGTAAGCGTCCGCAGTCAACTTCAACGCTTTGATGACCTCGAAGGTTGTCACGGCCTGTGTGTCCTTGTACATCCACAACCTCTCCCGGCGGACCGGCTCAACGAACCCAAAGTTTCGAAAGACCTCATTGCCCCATTTGATGACCTTGGCCCACTGCTTCCTCGTATGCAACGCCTCAACAAGCCACATCGTCGGCCAGACGAGCATTAACCTCGGCAACTTCAACTCGTCGTAGACTTCAGGTTCGTGGAGGGCAGCAAGCTGGCCGGCCATCCTCTCAATCTGCCGAATTGTCGCATCCGGGTGGAACTTCACCGGGTTCTTCTTCTTGATCGTCCGTTGTAGCTCAGCCAGCGCGGACACGCGCTTCTTGTGTTGTTCCAATGGGGACTTGGCCTCCCCGTCACAAAGATCGCAGCTGCACTCGAAGCCCCACGTCCTCCGGAACTGCGGTACACGGAGAAGGAACGTGGCTTTGGGCGGGAGGTAGATGTGCGTGATCTCCGTACCCTTCGGGATATCCACGGTAGCTCTGACGACAAGCATGTCTCCGACAAAAGACCTGTTGCAGTTTGGAAGGCAGGAGTGGTTGGCGTAAGCTGAGTACACCCAAAGCCCGCGCGACATGCCATTCTTCCACATGTTCCACTCCCCGTTTGCGGCCTGTGCAGAGACATGTGCACCGCTGAAGCAGTTCTTTCTCCGGATTGACTCGAGAAGGAAGACGTCGATGATGTTCTTGCCGTCAACTTCGGTCCCTTCCAGTCCGGAACGCTTGTATGTTCCTCCATAGAGATCGAGAACCTTCTTATGCATCGTGGGATTGTCTGCACAGAGCTCTATGAGTTGGGCATATGCTGCAGCAGAGTTGTGCTCTGGGTTGAACTCGTTGGGCACGCTGGTCGCCTTCTCTGCGAAGACAAGCTCGCCCGCCTTGATATCCTCCGTTGCGAACAGACCTCGCCCATGGTGTGGCGAGTCTCTAATCTCAGTCCTTGAAAGGAAGCTTGCGCGGTCGATGTGGATATTCTTCGGGGTGACGCCTTTGGCCATTTCGGGAAAGTTGTAGACGCCCTTCTCCTCTTCTAGTCGCGCAAGACACCGTTCGTATTCCTTCTGTACGTTGGAGGTTGGTGGTTCAAGGGCAAGAGCGGAATCAAAGTGCTGCTTGCTGGTTTGGAAGTCAGTGAGTTCGTACGACGCTCTTGCTGCAAGGAAGTGAGCCTTCCAGTCTGAGGGACCACCAATCGAGGCAAGAGCGTCCGAGAATGCGTCATCGAAGCGCTTAAGAGTAAGATTTATGCTGGCACGTTTCGAGAACATGCCGCTTCGGAAGGGGTAGTCGGCGTCGCCTGCCACCTCGAGAGCTTTTGTGTAGCTGTGAAAGTGTCAGCCAATCGGCAAAATGACGAGAAGGGTTGTCGATACAGACTTTTCAACCGCTAACGGAAGATCCTTCGATATGAAGGCCCTGTCACCTGCAGCTCCCAAGTCCACCGCCTCGCGGGTGTCTTGTAATTCTCTCCATGGAGTTGGTACCAGGGATTCGTCTTGGCCTTGCTGGAGCCTAATGATGTCTGATGGGTGATCGACGCAAAGCATGTAGTCGTTTTCTCCGCTGAACTTGTAGTACGGCTCTTTGATCAGGACGATGGTC